GGGCACTGGTGATCCAGCCTGAATGGAGGCTGCGGGGTCCCCGGCCCTTTAAGTCCAAAGTGGCGCCGGTGGGCAGGAGGCAGGGGTCCGAAGCCACGACCATCCCACCACCACATCCAGGGAGCCACAGGGGCGGGAAGCTCAGACAGAACCCTGCTTAGCAGATGATGCTGGGTGCCGAGTCTATTCTGACTCATGGCGACCCCATGTGACAGAGCAGAACTGCCCCATAGGGTTTTCTTGGCTGTAATCTTTATGGGAGCAGATAACCAGGTCTTTCCTCCACGGAGCCGCTGGGTAGGTTCGAACCGCCAACCTTTCAGTCAGCAGCCAAGCGCTTAACTGTTGTAGCACCAAGGCTCCTTCGTGGAGGTTTACTTACTGCCAGTAACGACAGTAATAAATCACAATCTCCCCACTAATCCACTAAGGAGAAATGTCCTCCCACCCTATCCTCCCGTCCACTTTGCTCGCTGGGGATAACGCTGTTGCCCAGTGAAGCAACACCTTCTGGAACTTTCCCTGGAATCATGCCATCCACATTGTACAGCATTCTGGTGGTGGTTTTCAACAACTAGAGACTTTAGCATCTTGATACGCAGCTTACTAATCGTTGGTGTCCAATATTCCATAACAGGGTGTTCCGCAGTTATCATGGTACCAGTGCCCCTTGCCATGGAGTGGATTCTGACTCAAGGTGACCCCATGTGTGTCTGAGTAGAACTGTGCTCTATAGGGTTTTCAATAGCTGATTTTTCAGAAGTAGATCACCAGGCCTTTCTTCCAAGGCACCTCTGGGGGGGGTTCAAACTGCCAACCTTTCGGTTCGCGGCTGAGTGCATTAACTGTCTCCAGCACCCAGTGGCTCCGTAATTCTCGTTACTGGTTCTCTATTCCCAGATATCACAGGGCGCCTTTGAGGCATAGACACCTAGCCTCCTGGGGCAACAGAGAATTGAATCTCGGACATAGGCTATCTAAGCATTTCGTTCCTACACCCTAATAAAATCGGCTTCATCCTTGTCCAAGTCGACTGGTCCACTAGGATAATGCTAACAGAGCCCTCGCGGGGGCCAGGCCCAGAGTTGGCCACATAGAATCCCCATCAAACCGCCCTCTGCAGTGGAAGCTGATGCTGCCCCACCGTACAGACGGGAAACTGAGGCTGGGAGAGGAAGCAGGGTCCGCCACGAGGCCTCCAGCTCCAGGTGAATTTGGCTGCTGCCCCGGTTCCCCATTAATGTTGCTGATGACAGGATTAAGAATGAGAACAGCTGACACTTCCATGTGCTTTCAGCAGCCCTCATCGGGCCAGGCCCTCTGCCTGGAACTCCCCCCACACACACCCAGCTGCGTGCCCTCTCTTCCCTCTGATGTTTGCTCCCAGGGACACCTGCTCAGCCAGCCTCCCAGCAGCTCCCTCCCACCACCCCCGGATTTTTTCTCTGTGTGCCATCACAGTCTGACCTCTGGGTTACTGTTGTTGTCGGGTGCTGTCAAGTAGATTTTCGACTCAGTGACCCACGGGACAGGTCTACTCTGTCCCGTGGGGGTTTCTAGGCTGTAATCTTTACAGGAGCAGATCGCCAGGTCTTTCTCCCATTGAGCTGCCGGGTGGGTTCAAACCGTCAACTTTTATGGTTAGCAGCTGAGCACTTAACCATTGCATTACCAGGGCTCCTGACCTACTATGTTGCTGTTGTTAGGTGCTGTCGAGTTGGTTCCGACTCATAGCGACCCCATGTACAGTAGACCCAAACGCTGCCCGGTCCTGCGCCATCCTCACAATCATTGCTATGTCTGAGCCCATTGTTGCAGCCACTGTGTCAATCCATCTCATTGAGGGTCTTCCTCTCCTTCGCTGACCCTCTACTTTACCAAGCATGATGTCCTTCTCCAGGGACTGGTCCCTCCTGATAACATGTCCAGAGTACATGAGATGAAGTCTCGCCAGCCTCGCTTCTAAGGAACATTCTGGCTGTATTTCTTCCAAGACAGATTTGTTCGTTCTTCTGGCAGTCCATGGTAGATTCAATATTCTTCGCCAACACCATAATTCAAAGGCACCAATTCTTTGGTCTTCCCCATTCATTGTCCAGCTTTCGCATGCGTATGAGGCGATTGAAAACACCATGGCTTGGATCAGGCACACCTTAGTCCTCGAAGTGACATCTTTGCTTTTAAACACTTTAAAGAGCTCTTTTGCAGCACATTTGCCCAATGCAATGTGTCTTTTGATTCCTTGACTGCTGCTTCCACAGGCGTTGATTGTGGATCCAAGGAAAATGAAATCCTTGACAACTTCAATCTTTTCTCCATCTATCATGATGTTGCTTATGGGTCCAGTTGTGAGGATTTTTGTTTTCTTTATGTTGAGGTGTAATCCATACTGAAGGCTGTGGTCTTTGATCCTCATCAGTAAGTGCTTCAAGTCCTCTTCACTTTCAGCAAGCAAGGTTGTGTCATCTGCTTATTGCAGGTTGTTAATGAGTCTTCCTCCAATCCTGATGCCCCATTCTTCTTTAAATAGTCCAGCTTCTCAGATTATCTGCTCAGCAGAGATTCAGTAAGTATGGTGAAAAGTTACAACCCTGACGCACACCTTTCCTGATTTTAAATCATGCAGAATCCCCTTGTTCTGTTTGAACGACTGCTTCTTGATCTACGTACAGGTTCCTCATGAGCATAATTAAGTGTTGTGGAATTCCCATTCTTTGCAATGTTAACCATAATTTGTTACGATCCACACAGTCCAATGCCTTTGCATAGTCAGTCAGACATAGGTATACATCTTTCTGGTATTCTCTGCTTTCAGCCAGGATCCATTTGACATCAGCAATGATATCCCCATTCCACGTCCTCTTCTGAATCCAGCTTGAATTTATGGCAATTCCATGTTGATATACTGTTGCAACCATTTTTTAATGATCTTCAGCAAAATTTTACTTGCGTGTGTTATTAATGATATTGTTCGAGCATTTCTGCATTCTGTTGGATCACCTTTCTTCATCTTGTTTACGGGCTGTGTCCTATAACACAGCTTCTCCAGGGCAGGGGTTTGGGACTGTGTCGTTCACGGCTGTGGCCTGGGTATCTGGTGCATAGTAGGTGCTCAAATCGTATTTTCAAAGCCACCGAATGTTGGAGAGTAATTACAGCATCCGTCATTTTTGAGAGGAGCCCTGGTGGCGCAGTGGTTAAGCTCTCAGCTGCTAACCGAAAGGTCCGTGGTTGGAACCCACCAGCCACTCCCTGGGAGCAAGACGTGGCAGTCTGCTCCTGTAAAGATGACAGCCTTGGAATCCCTATGGGGCAGTTGTACTCTGCCCTATGGGTTCGCTATGAGTCAGAATTGACTCCACGGCAGTGGGTTTTTGGCCATCTGCTAGGTCGGTACGCTCATGGCACCCATTTTGCAGTTGGGAAAACTGAGGCTGAGAGAGTGCAGACACTTCCCCAGGACACAGGATGTGGTTGGCTGGCCATCCAGCAAGGTGGCTGTCCTTAGTTGCTGTCAAGTCCATTCTGACTTATGGTGACCCCATGTGGGCAGAGTAGGACCGTGCTCCATTGGGTTTTCAAGGCTGTGATCTTTTGGAAGCAGATCGCAGGGCCTTACTTCCAAGATGCGTCTGGGTGGGTTTGGACTGCCAACTTTAGCTTAGTCGTCCAGCGCCTATGTGCACCACCCAGGGATCCCACCGCAAGGTGGTGGGTGAAGGACAGAGTTTCCTGGCAGACTCTCCCAGACAACGTCCCCACAACTGAGCTTTTTTAATCTGGAGGATGGGATGGGGCGGGGCAGATGGGGGAGGCCCTGAGCCGCTGTGGCCCCAAGGAAACCCGTTCCCAGCGGGTCCTCAGCCTGAGCAGGCGGTCGGGTAAGACTGCATCCTGTTGACAGAGGAGCAGACAGGACATTCGAAGGAAGAGTCGGAAGGGCTGTCTGGCCTCGGCCTTTTGCTCACCTCCCTGGACAGACAGCTCACTCCCGCACGCGGGGCATCCCCTTCCACGCTCCAAAGGTTCCACTTCCCGGAGTGGGTGGGGGTGCGCGCCCCCGCGGCGCCAGGTCAGGGGCGCCCCTGGCCCCGCCTGAGCCCCCCAGC